GCTGAACCCTTCTTTACAAATATTGTTTTATTGAAGCTCATAACAATCCTGGAAGGTAAGTGTTATTATAATCTCCATTTTACATTTGAGGAAACTGAGGCTGAAAAAAGTTATGACTTGGCCAAAGTCACACAGCTAGTGTCAAAGAATGAATATGAACTCAGGTCTTCCTGATTCCAGGCTCATCCACTCAGCCACGCATTGTGTCAAGGTGACAAGGCTGCTAAAATAGATCAGGGATCTTACTGTGGAGGGCCTTAAAGAACAGGCTGAAGGCTTTGGACTTTATAGAAGGTCCTTGAGAAGGGCAATGGCATTGTTTAACTGTGATTTACTTAGTGGTGTGTAAGCTCTCTTAGGGGCCACTAGGTGGTAGAGTGGTTAAAACCCAGATGATTCCATTCCCCTTCCTATAGTCCTGCCCTCAGCCTTACAGAATTCTCACCTCCAACTTAGACCATAAAGATCCTCTCTTTCCATGGTATGATGCTCATGTTCGAACAACAGTAAGAATTCAGGTCTCTCGATTTTTAAGTCTCGTTGAGGAACTACTTAATTGTTATCAATCTAGTATTACCATTGCTCACCGTTTATGGTGGAAAAATAAAATACAACCAGGAGTGGTTGAATTTGGGACCCCATGGCTTCCAGTGTCTATGATATACTTGTTGGAAATTTGATAATTACTCATTATCAATGGGTTGCTTCTGTACAATGAATGGCTATTTGCCATATTTATTTATGGATCAAATGGATGAAATCATATGTCCTCCAGACAGAGCAAATGTCTTAACAAGCACTCTCCCGTATGGCATTATTTCCTAATCAGCAATAACTTTCAGTTAACACATAGTTTTAGCTGGGAAACAAAGGCTGTAGCACTAATCTTGTTGATACCAGGTAATTTGCTATATTGTATCACTCATGCACACAATTTGTTTTGGAGTGCATTCTGTCAGGATTGAGGGGAGAGCAAACAGGGATAGTCTAGAGGGGGTATCTCCGCACTCTCCACTTCCAAAGTTTCCTCAGTATTGTTCTCCAGGTCTACTTTCAATAATTAGGCACCAGTAGGAATACAACCATCCTTTGGCAACCTTGGTATGTTTCTAGAGGGCAACAAGATCAGTATTTGCCAGGACATTGGCTTAGTGGAAGAATTGGACCTAAGTCAGTAAGAACAGAGAGGGGAAGTATAGTGTTGTGCCCAAAGTGAAAAGCTGGGTCCACTCCTCAGTTCTGAATATGCCGATTCCAATGAGACATCTGCCCATTACCAGTACCTGTGAGATATCGTCAGTAGTACTGACCCCAACCAAGCACTGGTTTCCATTTTTCTATGATGGGCTTAGTAGTCAGAGCCAGGGCAAGGCATTTGTGAGCCCTCGATAACATTTTTTTTTTTAAATTCCATATGTTACTGTCCACTGGAAGCTTTGTGCCTCTGAAGAGGTTTACCTACAATTCCCAGAAAAACCTTAAAAGTTTTACTCACATATCTCTCTTTGACAAAAACAACCTAGCTTCAGTTTTGTTTACAGTCCCAGGAAACCCTTAAAGTTTTAGAAACTGCCTTATTTCCCTTTAAAAGCCCTTTGAAAGCAAACTTCCCCTTCCAGCTCCCTTCATTATCTATTCTCATTGTCTGTTCAAATCACTCGGACATTCCAAACAGAAATTCTCACTTGGACCCTTTTCCAAACGGTCTACCTCCCCCATCAACTGGCTTTCCCATAGTTTTGCCTTCCTGGCCATTCCCACCCTTAATCCTAGCTAGGCACCAGTGTTCCATTTGCTCCAGCTTGCTGGCCACCCCTATCCAGATCTCCCTAGACCCCTAGACCCCTCCTCCCCTCACTCCAAGCTGCTTGGCCCCTCCCCACTCAGTCTGTACTAAAGACTCATCTTTCCCCCACTCAGACGCTGGGAATTTCTCATGCCCCTAGAGGATGAGACCCCATGCCCACCTGAAACAGGTGTCACCTGGCCTGACCACCCTAGCCCCAGCCCCCACTCAGATGCTGAGCTTTCTAGACTGCCTCACGCTGCTCATCCTTGCAAGCATCACCTGACCACCTTGAACCCTATTTAGATCACTGATGTTTGGGTTCCTTTGGAGTCTGGCCTATATGCTTATCTTTAACAAACTTTTTCTCTGTCTGGAAGAAGATCTGAGTTGAATTCATTCAGGCAGATCCATGCCGTGATTTGGGCTTTTTTCCACGATCTTGGGGTGCCTCTGTGCATCTAAGAGCACCCCAAAACCCCCACCCTCTTCACCTCCTCATCACACTAGTAACTCAGCTTGTCACAAAATATTTGCAGAGTCCATGCCTTTTCCTTGACTGTCCTCCATGCCTTGAAGTTATCTCCTTCCTTATTTCCACTTCCTGGCTTCTTTGTCCTTCAAGGCTCAGCTCAAATCCCCTGCAGGAGGCCTTTCCCTGCCTCTAGATGCCATTCCTTCCTCCCTGCAACATCTTCCCTCTGAGATCACCTCCCATATTATTTTGCATTTGTCTTGTATGTACAGAGTTGTTTGCAGGTTGTCTCCCCCATTAGATTTTAAGCTCCCTGAGGGCAGGGGTTTTTTTTGGGGGGGGTTTTTTTTTTGCCTTTCTTTGTATCCTCTCTGTTTAGCAGTGTCAGACGCTTAATAAACACATTGACTATCTATGTCTTCAAAGCAGGGCTCAGGTGCTATCTTCTTCAAAAGAAAAAGATGCCACTTCTGATCCTACTAGTTGCTCCTGTTCATGTCCTCTTGAAAGTGACCTATATATTTTATATTTATTTATCTGTGTACTTATCAACCTTTCAGTAGAATGTAAGCTCACTGAAGGTAGAGACAGGTTTTCATTTTGTCTTTAAATATCCTGTGCCTATCACAGTGATTCTCATGTAGCAGGTACTTAATAAATATTTGTTCAATTGATTAATTCTGTGTCTGGCAGAGTAGAATCTTCTGGCATTTAAAAATAGGCTTTTAGGTATCTCATGATGGAGTTTGCCTTCTAATGTGTTGGGGAGTTGTCCTCTAAACTGCATCTCCCCAACACCAGGACCTGGGGAAATATTGGGCCTCTAGTCAAGCCCCTGACTTGTTCAGAGTGTGTCTTAATTTTAAGGTTTTCAGGTTTCCACACATAGCTTGGCCTCCACACACACACTCTTGACCAGAAGTGTCCTGATAAATGTTTAAAAACTGAGTTCTCCTGGGGAAAAATGTGTGTACACATACTTTCAAATTTAATCTTCATTATTAACACTTTCTCAAGTCTAGACAATCAACAAAACAAAAAATCAAGCCCTGATTTGTAGATTCCTGATTTATGAAGTGTAGATGCTAACACTGAAAATTTAGCAATCTCTCACAAGTGGTTAGAGTAACTCCAGAACATCCTCTCTCCTGACATTATTCAGCGTCTTCCCCTTCAACAGGTCATCATAGCTCAGAGTCAGGTGTCCAAACTAAGTGGAAGAGGATTCAGCTGAGAGGCTTGGGATGTTCTGCCTGAGGGATTTACCAAGATGAGGGAAAAGAAGGTACCCACTATCCTATAACTCGGGCTTCTGTTAGGAATTATTGTAAAGACTGTTGCCCCAACTCTTTGGCTCTTCCCAAGCAAGTTACAAAGAGGAGGATAGGTTTGTCTGAAACTGAGATCCAGATGCTATTTCTGGGCCTCTTCCTTCTTATTCATATTAATTTTCTCCCAAAAAGCAGGGTGTGTGTGTGTGTGTGTGTGTGTGTAAAAATCTATACAATGGGCCATAAAGATGGGAAAATTGTTGATTGGAACTCAGGTCTTCCTGACTCCAAGTCTAGAACTCTATTCACTGGGCCACCTAGCTGCCAATGTTGAGGTGTAGATGGTAGGGGTGCTTGGACGCTGAAATCATGACATGCAGGTCCTGCCAGAATGAATTTGACCCAAGTCTTTTTTTTAGCCAAAGACAAGGTTTTATTACAGATGAACCATACAGGTCAGACACTTAACGAATCTGAACATTAGTTATTCCCATGAGGATGAGCGGGTATGAGGAAATCTCAGTACTTAAATGGGGGCCAGGATGGATCTTATATATAGCCAAGTAATTTGGGGTGACTGGAGGAGGGGTTGGGAGTTTAGGGGAATCCCCATGGGAGTGTTTGGGAGGTTGAATGGGGTCATCCAGGAACAGACAATGGAAGGCTAGGCTTCATCAGGGTAACAAAGAACTGAGAGATAGGGAAGGAAGAGGTTGAATGGGGTCTAGATAAGATAAGATAAGGCTTCATTAGGTTATCAAAGGGAGATAGGGCCTAGGCAATAAGGCCAGTTAATAATCAGGAGACTGCTAAACTTTCTTGACCAAATAAGAGAGTTCAAAGAAAGTTTAAGGGTTTTCTTAGACAAATGGGACCCAAATTCTTTTTGGAGTGAGGAGCAAAGGTCTTGACTTGGGCCCATACCTCATCACCAATAGTCCTCCAACTCTGTGTGTGGCTCTTTCAATGTTTGTTTCTATTTCTCCTCACTTCTATTTGCCAACCCCCTTTTTCCTTCTAGTTTCTACCTTAGATGTATCATTCTCTGTCCTTTTATATTTTGTAGTGAAAGTCAGGACGCAGTCTTCTAATGATTAATAATATTGAGTAACAAACCAATTGTATTGAAGTTGCACACCTCCCCAAACCACTTCCCCATCCTACCTTCTCACTCTCTGCCATGTGTTTTTGGATATTGTTTCCTTTTTTATTAGTTAAATTGTTCAGAGGTCCCCAACCCAATTCTCCATCCTTATCCTCTTCCTACCTCCCTGAGTCTTGATGTAAAATTATTTTACCATGGCATAAAATTACTAAAAATACAAAAACTTTCAAAAATGTGCCTTTATAAAGAATAATATTTTAATATGCCCCTCTGTGCGTTTCACTTAGATGATTACCCATTTTTTCTCTCCTTTGTCCTAATGATCAGGAACTCAATGATTGTTTTCCTTGTGCTTCTCTGCAGCGCCTCCATCTCAGTGAAGATGTGGCTGGAGCTACTTTCATGGCAGCTGGAAGCTCTGCTCCTGAGTTATTTACATCTGTTATAGGTAAATATTCTTATTGTTATTGTTTTGGTCTATACCTATAATTGCAATGCCAGCCTCCAGTTGTGAAATGTCTTTAAACAAAAGCAGATCAGTAACTTCTGCAGTTTATAGTCCTAAAGAGCTGTGTGGGGCTCTATGCCTAGGTTCCCACAGCTACAGTGTGTAAGATGCAAAACTTGAACCCAAATCTCCTAATTCCAAGACCAGCGCACCATCTATTATGGTGCACTTCCTAGTCTAAGTAATTATATGGTTACGTGTAAGTAACTATGTGATGACACAACTCACTAGTCCTTCTTTCTGTGATGCCATGAATCGTGAACAAGTGTCAAAATAACTGCCTGTAAGCATTGATGGGTTGGGATTTTCACTAATGATGAAAGGGACACCCCTAATACCCAAGTAACTTCTTTTAAGACTAACTATATGCCAACCTGGAGGCCTACAAGTGTGTGACTATCCAGGTGGGCTGTGATGAAGTAGGTGATCTGTGTCAACATGGTGGATGGGGATCACCAGCTCCCCTTTCTGGTTTTTGTATCTTTTCTTAGTGTATGGGTAGGCTAATATTATTAGACTTTGTCTCATAAAAGAGTGTTGATGATTCTGTATAGTGATTCTGTTTTGCTGCACAAAAGAAACCTTTCTAGAATATCCTCCTAAGCCATGTATGTTTTCTATAAATACCAAAGAAGAATCAAAATTATGAATTTGGGGACTGAAAGGATTTACATTAAAGTGGTTTGTTTTTAAGATACTTTTGTTTATTTCATTAAATATTTCCCAATAACATGTAAAAAATACATTTAATATTCATGTATTAAAATTTTGAGTTCCAAATCTTTCCCTCTTCTTTTTTGAGAAGGCAATCAATTTAATGTCTATTATACATGTGAAATCATACAAAACATATTTCCACACTAGCCATGTTGCAAAAGAAAACAGACCAAAAAAAAAGTCAAACATTATGCTTCAATCTGCATTCAAAGTTCATCAGTTCTATCTCTAGAGGTAGATAGTATTTTTCACCAGGAGTCCTTTGAAATTATTTTGGATCATCATCTTGATCAGAATTGTTAAATCTTTCATAGTTGATCATTTTTATAATATTGCTATTACTGTGTACATTGTTCTCATTCTGCTCACTTCACTTTACATGAGTTCATATAAGTTTTCCCAGGTTTTTATGAAACCATCCTATTCATCATTTCTTATAACATAATAGTACTCCATCACAATGATATAGCACAACTTGTTCAGCCATTCCCCAATTGATGGGATGCCCAAAAGTAACTGCTATGCATAATTTTGTACAAATATGTCCCTTTTCCTTTTCTTTAATTGCTTTGGGATACTGACTTGTAGTTGCTGGGTCAAAGGGTATGCACAGTTTTATAACCCTAAGGGGTCTGTTTGTGAAGTCAAGTAAGAAGATTGAATGACTTGGACTTTTTTTTCAGGTGTTTTCATCACAAAAGGGGATGTGGGTGTTGGAACCATTGTTGGCTCAGCTGTCTTCAATATTCTCTGCATCATTGGTGTCTGTGGGCTTTTTGCTGGGCAGGTAAGACAAGAAGCTGGACTGTCATGGGAAGACTTCTTGTTTCCAAAGGAGTTCAAAGAGATGGTAGATTTTAACCAAAGAGCTGGCCTGCCACGACTAAGACCCAATGTTCTCAATATATGTCAAGTTATATCAGCATATTGATGTTTCAGATTCCAAACCTGGTCAGTTATCCAGTTAAACCCAGACTGAAAAGCAGTACCTAGTTACTATTTTTTTTCCTCCAGCTCAGTGGGTTATTTTGAAACTCTGTTCACACTCAAACTATGGCTTCATGCTAATTTGTTCAAGGTAGCTAACTTGGAACTGATTTGAACTGAATGAACCAGGACTAATTCAGTCAAAGTTTCATGGGAAGGGAAGTGAACTGAAACAAAATATGCACTACTAAACCCATTCCTAAATAGTCCTTACCCAAGTCTCAATCACTTCCTTTGGCTGTCCATTGACTGAATATTGATGTTCATTTCATTTAAATTCCTACTATGCCTTGGTATTTGGCTTAAGTGAATTTGGAATAACAAATGCTGTATACATTCAATAGGGAAAGTTCTGTGGGCTTTGTATTTCATTCATGACTCTGCATGGATCTCTGATACCTATACACCTTTTGTGAAGTTGTAGGGCATTTCCTAGAAGCAAATATACAAGAAAATAAAAAGATGGGAGGAGCCAATACGTGGTATCAGATTAGGCCCAGGGTGTGCTAATAAATGTTTAATAACTGAATCTTTGAAATATAAAAAAAAAAAGTGCCCAAAAGATACTTTTAAGCTTAAACTGTATTATTAACATTTTCTCCACCACTTTCCAAAACCTACACAATCAATAAAACAAGTTAATCCCTGATTTATAGAATTTGTTGATTTAAGAAGTGTAAGGACTTATGCTGAAAATTTAACAGTGGGCTCTCAAGAGCTGGTTACAGCACATCCCTGGTCTTATGTTAGGAACAGAGAAAGCCAATTTAGCTAGATCACAGAAAATAGGAGAGAGAGTAATGTTCAAAGAGGTTGGAAAGATAGTTTGGGATAAGGTTGAAAAGAAATTTAAAAAGTAAACAGAGCAGTTTATATTTTATCCTAGGGGCGATGGGGAGCCACTAGAGTGGACTGAGCAGGGAGTAACAGACATAGTCAGATGTCGGCTTAAGGAAAATCACTTTAGCACCAGAGTGTATAGTGCACTATTGGTCTGAGGCATGGAGAGGCTGCTGCCATGACCTAGGTGAGAGGTCATGAGGACCTGAACCAAGGTGGTAGGCATGTGAATAGAGAGAGAAGGGGTCAGATGTGAAAGACCTTGTGGAGGTAGAAATAGCAAGGTTTAACAACTGATGGAATTTGTGGAGTGAGGGAAAATAAGGCATTGAAGAGGTTCAATGCCTAGCGTTGTAAAAGGATGGCATCACGGGCATAAGTAACAGCATGAACAGTCACAGAAGGAGCAAATCAAGGGATGTATACTGGGGATGTCAAATAGTCCAGTTTGGAAGATAGCAGCTTGAGATAAATAAAGTATGTATTGCATGACAACAGACCATAGAAAACCTTGAATGCCAAATTAAGGAGTTTGAACTGTCTTCACTAGGCCATAGGAAGCTAACATTGAAGTACTTGGAATATCTGATTAATAACATGAAGGCTGCCTCATAAGAGGGGTTAGTTTCTCTTGGGGAATATTGTCAACTCAGCCGTGATAACTTGTTGAATTGCCCTGCTCTTACTGGAGCTCTTACTCCTAGGTGGTATTGAAAATGCTCTGATAAATTCTTCCCCACTAAACTTCAGGAGGATCATCATTCTACTACTTTACCTCCAGCTCCCCCTTCCTTGTTTCAATATATTTGCATAACATATTTTTCAAGTTAGGTGATTATTTTCCATTAATTACATTTGAGGCTGGCTTTTCTTGGTGAGCTGGATAGAGATACTTTTACCTGAGCAAAGCCTAAGTCATCTCCAGATGCCCCTGCAGGATATGAACATAGAATTTTAGAATTGGAATCCCAGGATGGGTTCCTGTAGGTAACTAACAATCCCACAGCCAAGGAATGTCGAGTCCTATTAGCTTCGTTGGTGAATGGCGCTTTTAATCTTTGAGGCTCTTCTTTTTTGCTGACCTCTGCCTCAATCACCTTTTATCCTTAATCTTAGAGTTGGCCTCACTTTGGGACCATTTTTTGTCTTCTAAAGACACAACTGGAGCAAAAGGAAAAATATCCATCTTTGTTCTTGATGCTTTTCACACTTGACTTACCCAAAGATATGTTTGGAATTTTCTCTTAGCTTTCAAAGATTGATAGTCAAGTCCTGAAGGAGAGATTGTTTTTATAAGCATTATCTTAATTAGCACTGTCACTATTAGCAGTGCAATTATTAGCCTTGTCATCATTAGTTTTGTGATTAGTTGGTTATTCATTTATACCTGGAGTCCAGCTCAAAAGCAAACCCAAAAAGGAGAGGTAATGATGTAAAGAAATTAACCAAATGACTGGAAAGTGTCTTCCAAATGCCATCTTGCTTATTTGCAATGGATTGGCTCTGACGCATTTATGCTTTATAATTCATTGACAGCACGTTTTAATTACTGACTTGGCAAGAACCTTTGCATAAAAGATTGATTGCTAGATTTCTTGGACAATGCTTTCTGTTTCTCATCAGGGTTTTCCCCTATCTCTCCCTAGACCCATAACGTCATAGAGGCCATATAGATATTATATGACAGCAATTTGCTTGTATCTATGTAGCTGAATATGTGCCAACTCTGCCTTCTATGAATCATTTTTCCATGCCCACTTAGAGGTTTCCCGGAAAATTCACTCTCATTTGCCAGAGCTCAATATGGCCCCTTCAGAAACACTTTTTTTTTTTAAATAATACATCTACTTCTACTTCTCCAGGCTTGAAACAACCTATAGATGTTCTCCAAAAGACTCTAGGGAATGTGCCCTGAGGAACCCTATACCTATTATGCTCATTTCCCAATAGATTTTTTTCAATAAGCTCATAGGACTTAGAGTTGGAAAGTGCCACGGAGGTTGTCACACCTATCCCTCTCATTTTATAGTTGAGAATACTGAGGTCCAAAGTAGTTGAGTGATCTGTCCAAGGCCACCCCAGTGGAAAGTAGCAGAGCCAATATGTGAACTCTCAGTAAGAGTCAAGATCCCATTTCACTGTTGTGTAGATAAGCAACGTTTTCCTCCACCCCTACCCAGTGATATCACAAAGAAGGGCGCAAACTCCTACAGGCCTCAACCTCTAAAACTCCATCTCTGGAACTTCCTTCTGGAGCCTCATTCCATAAGAATTTGCCTGGCTTGCTGAGTGGAAGTATTCCAACTCAAGGGCAACCTAGAACACAACTTCATGTTGTATTTTCTTTGTAAGGAGGAGAAAAGACAGTATTATAAAGTAAAAAATCACATCAAGGAAGGGAACTTTGCTGTCATTAACTCTCAGAAGCAGAGGACAAATATTTGCTTTCTGTACCATCTGATCAGTGGGAGAGCAATTCAGAAATAAATGAAATGATGCCACACTACATGATGGAAAGTACTCTCAGAGGTGGGTGGCATCTGTTTCACTGCAGTATCATCGTTGAGGACTGATTTCAGAAATTCAGTTTGTCAACCGAACTGAACCAACCTCTAACCTGTGAATGGCCAGAGCTGAACAGAACAGGCTAGAAACAAGAGAATCAGGAATCAAACAGAAATTTAATTTCAAAGTGAGGGAAATGGCTTGGAAGGAAGGACAAATGTGCTGGTGCCCTGCCCCTAATGGGGAGACCCACTTTAGTGTGGCTAAACCTTGATACTTATACCAATGGTTGCACAGTGAGCTGTAGCCCTGACAATGAGGGGTAACAGCAACGATGAGACAAGTTTGATTTTTTGCAGGGCTTTGTCAGCAGAACATGTCCAAGCTTGTCCAATACTTGTCCGAGCTTGTCTGGTGCTTGTCTGAGCTCAGAGAACACCTGGTCCTGGTCAAAGCAATACAGTAATTCCATGATTTTGTCAGAGGGTGAGATCATCCAGAGGGTGAGCACAAAGGATTGTTGTTATGCCAAGCTCAGGGCACAGCTTGCTTGCTGGGCTTTAGCTCTGGAAAACAGGGTGTCTCCTAATATCTTGACTAATTAGTTAATAAATCTAATCTTTGTTCTCTCTCAGCTTTGTTATTTATGCTATTTTACATTTTCATTTGGTAAGAAAAATTGCCATTCACGGCCTACATACTTTTTTTTGGAATGCATTTTACTGTGTCAGACTTCATACAATTAGATAAGTTTTCCATCTGAAAACAAAACAATTCAACTGTAAGCTCTGTGCCCCCATCTAAGTTAGAGATTTGATTGATTTGGTATAATTCAATATCTTTTGCCTTTGCAACTTTCAAACATGCCAAAGGTCCTATGTTCACCTAAGGTGTTCTGGGCATGAATGACCGAGGAAGACTATAACTGAATTCTCAAAGCAAACTCAAGGGGTGGATTTTTCAGGCCATCATGAAGCAGCACCAGGATTGCAGTCTTACAAATTGTTTTTTGAAGCAAAAAGAAAAACGCCACATCTCCTAACACAACATGATTCTAGTGTTTGATTTGCATGTTGAATTCAAGAACCCTTTACACTGGCTATCTGAAATATAAAATTATATGCCAAGATTCAGTATTTAGAGCACAACACATTTGAAATCCATTACCACATTACAAAGTAAATCATTTGCTCTGATCACAGATTAGGAATCCAGTCTGTTTGTTGTCATTGGCAGATGATTCATGCTTCTGGTGAGAAGTTCAGAAGTCAATTTCATTGGCATTATAGGAATTTGCTTGCCCCTTGTTGAAAGTTTCCAACCTTGATCTTTCTTCTTAACTTATCACATCCTCATAGGGAAAAAAACACACCAAGCCCAAGACTATCCCCCACTTCCCTACAGAGGTCATATATCTGCATATGCCCTAGACTCAGGAACCTGCAGCATCTCAGA